TTGGCCTTTCAGCTGGGGCCCTTTTCTCTCTCCAGAGGAGACAATTCCCTGTCATGGTGTGTCATTTCCTAGGCTCTGGAGAATGTTGAGCGCTGTGACTCAGGTGCCGGATGTGGGTGGGGGTGAGGGTGCCTGGTGTGCCCGTGTCTGGCCGGCCTGGATGGAGATTGGAGAGGACTGTGGGGGAGGGGAGATGACCACACAGGCTCCCCACCCGCAGCCTATTTTGTGGCCTGGGCCACGTTCTGATGCCACCATTGGAATACCGGGAGGTGAATATGCTTCCTGGGGACTGCCTTTGAGAGAAGGCGCGCATCGTTAGTCGGACAAACACAGTTTTCTACTGTCCTTGTTCTGGAGTGCTCCTTGGTTTTTTTTTTTTTTTTAATTTTTTTTTTAACGTTTTATTTATTTTTGAGACAGGGAGAGACAGAACATGAACAGGGGAGGGTCAGGGAGAGGGAGACACAGAATCTGAAATGAGCTGTCAGCACAGAGCCCGACGCGGGGCTCGAACTCACGGACCGCGAGATCATGACCTGAGCCGAAGTCGGACGCTTAACCGACTGAGCCACCCAGGCGCCCCTGGAGTGCTCCTTGTTGAGCACAACCCCATCCCACCACCCAACCCTGTGTTAGGAGTCCATCTTGCAGAGCTGAGGACTGCCTCTCCCTTCGTGAGGCTGTGTGCGGGCCTCAGAGTCGAACCACTGCCTGGGTTCAAATCCCAGCCCTGCCACTTGGGTCATCTTGAGCAAAAGCGACTTCGAGAGAAGTACCCCACAGGCATTTTGAACAGCGCCACCTACATTGTGTGTAGTAAGAGAAAGCCTTAGCTGTTAATCCTCGTGGCTCAGGAAAGCTAAGAGGCGGGGTTATCTTGACGTACCATGTCCCTTAAGTCAGGGGACATCTGGGAAGGGCTGAGCAGGATTGTTTCTGGTGGTTCACCAGACACAGGTTGGAGAAGGGTCTCATCACATGCTTGGTTCCCGATATGCAGTAGGCCTTCTCTTATTATTAAGATTTCAGCGGATGTCACAGGAGGGGAAAGTTCTGCTGTTTCCTGCTTCATGCCAAGCTGTTCTCCTGAGTCACTGCTCCGTCTTTTGCCTGGAGGAGCTCTTCTCCCTCGCCCACGTTAACTCCTTCAGAACCAGACTTATTTTGGGGCTGGCGGAGGGGGTAGGACGCGGAGGGTGGCTGGTGAGCCAATGCAGTAGACTCACAGGCCGTGCTACTCACAGAAAGGACTTCCAGGTCAAGGGTGAACCATTTCCCTGGTGATTCAGTCTATGGTGGCTCTTTGTCATCCTTCCAAGTTTATAGATGAAGTGTGTTTAGCAATAAGTCCTTGTCAGAATTAAATCATTAAAGAAGGAGGAAAAAAAAAAAAAACAACTTGAGTCAGCTTTCTGGAAGAGGTCCTTAAGAGGCTTTGTTGCCATGACTACAGCGAAGTCCACACCCCCCATTCGCTCACCACCTGAGGCCTACGTGTTTGTACGTCAGAGTGCTGACCTGCCTCCTCCCTCCCAAGGACCGTGAATGCAGTTGGTGTTTTGCAGTTTTCTCCCTACGAGTCTCACTGACAGCCTCTGCCTTTGACAGATGTGTCTATTGCTTAGAGCCTATTAAACTCCTGCCCCTTGGACACAGCCGCTGATCTCTCGTTAACTCTGGAGGGAGTCGCTGTGTTTGTAGTCAGGAACAGAATTGGGGTTTTGATGGTTTGGTGGGATTAGAAGGTTGGGGTGCTCTTAGCTAGGGGCAGCCTTGGGTCAAACCCCGCCTCGCTGAGCAGGATCTTTGTTTTCCCCTTTCGGTTCCTGCTGGGCTGGGACAAAACTCAGTCTGGCTTAAGTTGCTTATGTGTGTGTTTCTCCCCTCTTTCTCATGGAATTAATGAATTGGAAAGTTCAAAAGGGACTTTACTTTTTTCATTAAAAATTTTTCTTGATGTGTATTTTTGAGAGCGTACGCAGGGGAAGGGGCAGAGAGAGAGGAAGACACAGAGCCCGACGTGGGGCTTGAACTCACAAACCACAAGATCGTGACCTGGGCCGAAGTCGAGCACGTAACCAACTGAGCCACCCAGGCGCCCTTCAGAATGGACTTTAAGGTCCTCTAGTCCTGTAGTTTTAATCTTTAGTGTTGGTGATATCTTTAGGAAGGTGAAGTAGGTGTGGCCCCCTCTTTGCCAGGAAGTTGTGTCCTTGTACAGAACTGTGGCTTGTGGATCATGGGTCCCTGAAGCACTTTCCAGGCTCCAGGTGAGAAGTTCTGGTCTGGCCCCTTCCTCCCTTGTGCCATTTTGCACATGGAGTCTGAGTGGAAGAGAGACCGGCCTGGCATCTCCTCGTCTTGCCTCGCCTCCTTGCTCGGCTGCTGTTTCCTCAGACCCAGACCAAGCCCACAGGTGGCGGTGGGGCAGGAGAGGAGCTGGGCTTACCGGTGTGGAACAGGGTTCTCTAGACTTGAGAACTTAGATTCCATCCCCTACACACACACCCTGGGGTGTGCATCCGGGTTCTCTGGAGGGCTTGCTACCCCACAGACCACCAGGGCCTAGGCTAGAGTGTCTGAATCTGCACATCTGCGGGGCCTGAGAATGTACATTTGCAGATTCCCAGGTAATGCCACTGCTGCTAGTATGGGGACTATTCTTTGGGATCTGTCGTCCCAGGGGGCCTCAGCCGCAGGTGGGTAACTTAGACGCCCAAGGAGGGGCTGGTGCCCTTTCTGGCTGTCAAAGGCTGACTGTTAGCTACCTTCTGTGTTCTAGCTCGGTGATTCTTCAGGAGGCCAGTCCCACCCCCTCTGGGGGTGTTTGGGAAGTATGTGGGGGTGCTTTTAGTTGTCACTGTGTGTGGGAGTACTGCTGGCAGCGAGTGGCAGGGTGCCCAGGTGGTCCTTATGATGGGGAAGAGCTCTCCCTTCCAAAAATCTAGTGCGTTCCATTAAGAAACCTGGAAACGCACAATTTGTTTTTCCTGAATGTGCCCCTAACTTTTCCACTGATGTGTCTTTGCTCATGTACTTTCTTCTTTAAAGAACTCTACCCACCAACGGGCGCCTGGGTGGCTCAGTCGGTTAAACATCAACTTCGGCTCAGGTCGTGATCTCGTACTGCGTGAGTTCCAGCCCCGCGTTGCATTCTGAGCTGATGGCTCAGAGCCTGGAGCCTGCTTCAGATTCTGTGTCTCCCTCTGTCTCTACCCCTCCCCCGCTTGCATTCTCTCAAGGATAAATAAACGTTAAAGAAAAAAAAATCTACCCACAGATGAAACAAAAACATCCCAAATACCCAAAGCTTTGCCTAATTGCTTTCAATTTTGGCCTGGCCCAGGGGCCATTTTGTTTGGGATGCATTTCCTTGTGGCCCCCAAAACACCTTTTCTAAACGCACATATTCTGACAGTTGAGCAGGGTTATTTGGGTTTATCAGGTCCACATTCAACAACCCCCAAAACTCCTTCCTGCGGTCCCTCCAAGCCTGTGGTGATTGGTCCCAACGGTGTCTATCTGGTGACCTTTTTAAAATCCTGAATCAGGCCGTCGTCATTTGCTCGTTACTGGCTTTGGTTTGCACCTGCTGCTTTTTATGTGAAACTCAATCTCCTGAATACCTCAGTTTAAGTTTTATTTTGATAGTCTACACTCATGATACACAAAGTACACAAGGGTACACCGTGAAAAATAATCCCTCCCCCACGCCCTGAATGTTTTCTTCCACTAGTTGCACTTTCGAACTCTGTAATGCTTTTGTGTTCATCCAGAATGTTCTAGGCTTGTGCGTACTTAGATATATGACATCTTTTTTGGGGTGTGTTGTCTATTAACGGTGCTTAGAAATGTGTTGCTTTTTTTTTCACTTAATGCAGAAGCTTGGAGATGGTCATACATCCGTTTGTGTAGAAGTGTCTTTAAAAAAAATTTTTTTTTTTGACATTTTTATTTATTTTTGACACAGACCTGGAGCGTGAGCAGGGGAGGGGCAGAGAGCGAGAGGGAGACACAGAATTGGAAGCAGGCTCCAGGCTCTGAGCTGTCAGCAGAGAGCCTGATGTGGGGCTCAAAGCCACCAACTGTGACGAGATCATGACCTGAGCCAAAGTTGGACGCTCAACCGACTAAGCCACCCAGGCGCCCCAAGGTGCCTTCTTATTCTTAAGGGCTGCAGAATATTCCACTGTATGAGAGGTGCCTGGCTGGCTCAAGAGCATGTATGTGACTCCTGATCTCAGGGTTGTAAGTTCAAGCCCCATGTTGGATATAGAGGTTACTTAAAAAAAAATAAATAAAAAAAATAAAAAAGGATATCCCACCATATGGCTGTGGTATGGTATTAGACTAGTCCTTAATTTGTGGACGTGTAAGTCATTTCCAGGCTTGGGTACAACACCCAGTGCCTCTCAGTTGAATTTTCTTGCGGGTACTCTGCTTCCTATGATTGTATCTGTGGAATGTGTTTCTAGGAGGACATTGTTGAGTCAAAGACTAGGTGGGGAAGGTGAGAGACTCTTTACTGTGAGGGTGGAGTGGGGTGGGGATCTCTGCGGGCCTGAGAGAGAGGAGGTTCCCTCTGGGGGAATGCCAATCCCAGGCGGCACCTTTTCAGTGAGTGTTCCCCCCTAACTAGCTATGCTGTGCCTCTGGGCCAACCCTTTGGCTCTCTCTGGGCCTCCATTTGGATGTCTGTGGGATGGTCCTCCAAGCTCTGGGGTCTGTTCTCCCTCAAGGTGCCTGTGGTTAACGTTTAATTTCCTCGCGGGGCTGTGTCTCAGCGCAGCACCCAAATGCTGAAGGCTTATTCAGGATTTTTCTGAAGTTGCCCGGTGAGAATGGAGAGTTCCATTCTGTGGACTGGATTTCGCAAAAGCAGTTCACTGTCTCCTTTAACGAGCCTATTGGAAGATGCTCTGCCTTTCATTCAAAGGACCCCCCCTCCCCGCCCCGCCCCCGGAGGCCTTGCTTGTATCCATCCGGGACCATGTTCATCTGCCCCAGTGGCCCCTGTCCACACTCGGAGGTCAGTGACGCATGGCGCGGCCCGCGTGCTGGGGCTCGCCCGCAAGTTAGATCTGGAGGAGGAGCGTCGTCAGGTTACCTTTGGGGGTAGTCGTCGTTCTGGATTCCACACCCCACCCCATCACCTCTGCTCTCACGCACCGTCTCTCCTCGTGCCTGTAACATCTTTCTCAGAACGTAAGGCGCATCATGCTGCGCCATTGTTTCGTCCCTACGCTCATGAGACAGCCATCGGGTGTGGAATGAATGGATCCAAGGCCTTGCAGGTGAAGAGTGGGTGGTGGTGGACGTGTCTGTGTTTAAATGAGATGCTGGGAGAGTAAAAACGGAAAGGACTGAATCGGCGAGGGTGAGGCTGGCCTGGCTCAGATGCGAATCAGCGAACGTGTCATTTATGTCCATCTCTTCGGCGGAGAGTAGCAAGCACGACACCGTCAACGTTGGCCTCTTCCGCAAAGGAGTGTGTGCGCCTTCAGTTTCTAGAAGTGTGTGGGCTGGTTGGTCGATCTTTCATGGTTTTCTGCCTGTCGCCGTCAGGAGAAGAAGTGTTTCTTTGCGATGTAGACAGGGCACCAGTGCCCGTGCGACAACTCATGGCGGCTGGGTCGTGGCCTGGTCGGTGGGGACACAATGGGGATTTTGGCCAAAGGGAGAGCACGCTTCCACCCAAAAGTGGCCTGTGGGGGTGCAGATCCACCTGGTGGTATCAGGCCCTACAGGCCCTGATCTGGTTTTTGTTTTTGTTTTTTAAGAGAAGCCAGAAACCTAGGTTGTTATGTGAAGTTTCTCAATTTTATATTTTGGCAGTGAATTAAAATGTTAACAAATGGTATGTAGGCTGAAGAAAGACGGTCTGACCTTTGAGCCAGTTAACCGAAGAGCCGGGGTAAGTAAGTGTATTCTAGGAGGAGGACCACTAAAATGGCATTGGGCCCGGGGACAAGATGCGCTGTGCGCCCCCACACCCACACCCGCTCCCTGTGGGGGCTGGGCCTCCCTGACTGCTTTAAAATATGTGGTCCTGTGTGTCTCTTTCAGATCCTGGCTCCACAGAGAGAACAGCCCAGAAAAGAAAGTTCCCCAGCCCTCCGCATTCTTCCAATGGCCACTCGCCACAGGACACATCAACAAGCCCCATTAAAAAGAAAAAGAAACCCGGCTTACTGAACAATAACAATAAGGAGCAGGTAAAGGGCCGCTGGGAATGGTGTCCACACCAGCAGGACGAAGGCTGTAGTGGGAAGCGGTTCAGCTTTCCGGGGGTTTCTGACAGCCGCTGTTCTTGGCATTTAGCAGGCTGCCTTGCTGCAGCTGTCATTTGCATAGGACAAGAAGGACAGCCCAAAATGGGTCTGTGTAGCGATTTCTGTTAGCTTTTCAGATCTGTGTTGGGGACAGGGCAGTGACCCAGATGAGATGAAGGATACTGTGCTTTAGGATTTGGGGATTTTCCTTGGATTTTATTTTTGCACTCTAGGGCTGTTTCCCCACGTGGCCTGAGGATTTTTTTCCTGCTAGGCCAGGCTGGTAGGATGGTTCTGAGCTCTGCCTCGGGGTGGCTGTGTGGCTAAGGCAGGCTCCCTCCTGGTCTCAGCTTTCTCATCTGTAAAATAACGGGTTTAAGTCTGTGGTAAGACAGCTGCTGTCTCTACCCATTGTCCACTCTCCACTTTGGTGATTGGTCACCCCTTGGTCTCATTGCGTGTAGATCCCAGGCGGCACGAGTCTTCTCTAGACCCCAACCTCCTTCTGCAGCCAGGACCTATCAATGAGATAGGAATATCCATGAGCCATCTTGGATCTTGCTTAAGAAACCTAGTTTTAAAATTCTCGAACGTAAGCTAGATATTCTTCTGATTTAAAAAGACGAGAGCTGCTTTAGTGGACCCTGGGGTCCAGTCTCCTAGTATTGGAAGAAACAGGATGTCCCAGGGGTTCTGATACCATTTCAGCGGGGATTCCTTGGGATGTATTCATCCATCTTGTGCATTATGGAGTGCTGACGTGGGCCCTGGGGATTGGAGGTTGAATAAGACAGGGTTGTTACTTTCATGGGAAAGAAACCTAGCAACGGTTAAATGCCCAGAACTGGGAGAGGGGTACATTTCTGCACACTAATCTATTTCCATTCTCAAAATTACATAGTGAAATGCCAGCTCTGCCTTTGCCGTGTGGCTGTGGGCAAGTTAACCTCTTTGTGCCTGCTTTTCTCATCTACTGATGGGAATGAAGGTCCTGCTCCTGATTGCACAGGGTTGTTGGGATGAACTGAGCCCACTGATGCAAATCATAATAATAAAAATTAAGCCAGGCTTGACACGAAGTGGAATAATCGCACAAACCATGTGTGAAATCGAGAAACGACAGCTGTAAAAGTGTTCTAGAACTGGGCTGTTCGGTAAGATTGCCACAAGCCATGTGTGGCCACTGAGCACCTACCTGCAAATGTGACCCAGGGACCGATTTTTTTTTTTTTTTTTTTTCCCCTGGGTTGGATAGTGCAAGTCTAATGAGTTGGGAATCCTGTTCAAAGAGAAGAAACAGATGGGTCCTAAATACATTTTTAGGGAGATTGAGAAAGATACGCCAGTATTGGCAATAATAATCATAAAAGCAGTGTTGGCTCACTCCCTGTTGTAAGCATTTTTCTGTGTTAATGTTTATAATCTTCCTGTGAGAAAGGGCTGTAATTATCTCCCTTCTGCAGATGAAAACATTGAGGTTCAGAGAGGTTAAGTTGTCTCCTCAAGGCCTCTGAGCAAATTAGAAGTTGCATTCGAGCTCAGGTCGGCCGGTCTGGCTTAAAGCAGTGGCGACCATCTCTGTCACCCAGGAGCCATCCCGTAGCTGCTGGGAGTGAAGACTGAAAACGAAACCCCGAGGCCACAGATAATCCCCAAACCTTAATTTAGCTAGTAATTGAACTTCCTGGGCAAACCTCCCTTATCGGATACCAGGACGCCTCAAGGCAGATACTGTCCCCTCTGTGCAGAAAGCCTTCTCCTTCGGCCTCTCTCTGTGTGTGCGCGCACACGCATCATGCTTTTTGAATTCCTACCTGTCCTTTAAGGAACTGGCTCGTAACTCTCTTTCTGGAAGCGGATCAGCTTGGGCAGTCCACACGTTTTCTTCTCTCCCTTCCCCATCCATGTGTACCATTTCTCTTAACACACGAGGCCCGTGAACACAATGTCGGTCCATGTTTCCCTGAGAAATAGCCACAGGGTGGAGGTTCGCATAGGCACAGTGCGTTCTAGACGGAGAAAAGAGGAGACCCCGAGTAGCTGGACACAGGACACGGTGACGCTCCTGAATAATCTGTAATCTTCAGTATTGATAGAGTTTACAGGACTGTTGCACAGAGGAAGTGTCCTGACCCACAGGTCGGACTCTAGCCTCACTGCATCTGGGAAATTCACTCTGGGACCTCGTCAGTTGCTTTCCTAGCTTTGAGCTTCAGTTACCTTGTAAAATAGGGGTTTGGATTGGGAACATTATAAGGTTGATTGTAGGTTTTTCAGATCTAAAACTCCCTGGGGCCCAACCGTCAGGAGTTGGCGAAAGAGAAACGGGCTTAACTGTAAAGAAATGAAATTCTTGAACCTTGACCCCATAATTCATTCTAGCATATGGTATTTGCATAGTAGCAACAGCCTCCCTCACGCACAGTCTGTTTTTCCTTAAGGGGAACTTAAATTCCTTAAAAAAAAAAATTCTTCTGGGCACTTTCCCTTTTCTCTTTCTTCATCTTAGAATTCTATAGCATTACAGAATTATGGAATTAAAGGCAAATTGTAGGTCCACGAGTGCTGGGTTTTACCAATAATATAATTTCTTAGTCACCAACATTTGAAGATCAGGAGACTTCAAATAACAACTTGTATTTTTGGGTTCTTATAAAAACTCAGAAAAATCCAGCAACAGCTGGAGCGGAGTAGAGCGTGCTCCTTTAGACGGAGGGCCTGTGGGCTGTAGATTTCCACACTCCCCACCCCTCCCCGCAGCGTGACACCCGACTTGCTTTGCTCATTCCCTCTGCCTCCAGTTCTCTTAAGTGTCCGAGTGCTTTTGGTTTTGGGCACATGTCAAGATTCTTCTCCCCTTCCTCCCTTTTTCTTCTACTGTCTTTTTTGTGTTCAAAAAATAAATCCTCCCTGGCCTTATAGAAACACCCTCCCTGCCCCCATATTTTTCCATTTTTGGTAGAGACCTATTATGACCAAGTGGAGACGGGGGTTGAATTTTTAAGGTTGGACCCTGTTTCACTCATTTTTCACGTATTAGGAATTCAGTACTTTTAGGGAGTTGCAAGAGGAACTTTAAAACACACTTTAGTTTTAGGGAAAAAAGTATTTAGGGCTTACAGTTCATTTTTTATGGCTCTTTGGTCCAGTGGTTTTGCCCTGTAGGAACGGTTTGAAAACATGTAGGTGGTTTTTCTACATCCCAAAGCCTGGAAGGATGCTCTGGCATTTTGTGGAAGAAGGTTAGATTGCCAAACGTCCTGCAGTCGATGGCCCAAGAAATATCTTCCCTCCAATGACATTAGGGCCTTTACTGAAAAATACCATTCTAACTTTCAGTTCTCAGGACATCTGACTTTGAAGACTCCTTTCGGGAGGTTTATTTTTCTTTTATTTTTTCCCCATCGTTAAAGGATTGAGAAATAATCTGCTAACAGATTGGGTAATATCTCTGATCAACTATGGCAAAGAAACGATGGGGTCCCTCCTCACTGCCCCTGAGCACAGGGTATATACATACCATAAATGGGTGGGCTAGAACTTACTTTCTCGGGCCCACGCATTGTCTTAAGAACTTAAACATACTCCGGAAGTCCCTTGTTGGGCTTGTTGGGGCAGTGTATTCATAGTTGGGACTGTGAAGGGGGTTGTAGGCTTGCTGGCTTCTCCCTCAGCCCAGGCAGCACTGGGAGAGTGTATCTGCCTCGCTGCCCCGATCACTGGAGCTGTCCTGGGGCTGCTGCTTAAGAGGGGCCAAGTTCTCCCTCTCCCTGTTGTCTTGCCAGCGTCCAGGCTGAATGCCAGTGACATTCCTCACACTCCAGGGCTGGGCAGTTTTTCCTTAGAGCACTGTTTGTGCTTTAAATGCTGAAGAATAAAAGTTGGAACAAGGACTCTTTTCACTTACATATGTTATCTCTGTGCTCCAGGTAGGGATTCGTGTTTGTGGCCTCTCCACAGGGGCCCCTCCATGGTCCCACATGTACTCTGTGCTCCCACACAGCCGGCGTACCCCTTTTCCGGTTTACACAGACCAGGTGTCAGCTCACCACAGCCTGTGAGCCGGGTGGGCCCAGAGCCTGTTTTTGTAAATAAAGTTTTATTGGCACGCAGCCACGTTCATTCATTTACATACTGTCTCCGGTTGCTTTTCTGCTACTGTGGCCGGCCTGAGCAGTTGTGCTAGAGAGAGATCACATGACCTGCAGAGCCTCAGCTATGAACTGTCTTCACAGAACCCTTTGTAGAAGTTTTGGGTCACTGGTATGAGACTGAGGTGTTCTAGAAGTGAGTTCATGAGCCCATCTGTTTTCTTGTTAATCAGCCTGTGGAAGAAGCAGGGAAATAACATTTGCTCACACAGCCTGCAGTTATCCTGTAAGAACATAGGTTGCAACCTTACTAGCAGGCTGGTAACACACCTTATACATAGGGGGGAGAAAATCATAACTCCTTTCACCTGGAATGGTTCGCTTTTCCTCTTTTAAATGTTCCATATTTGTTACCAGCCTGTTTGTCAGGAGCAGGAAATAGCAGATGAGGCAGGTATCTGATTGAGATTAGCGGCCAGCCCGTTCTCAGCAATACAGCTGCTGCTTGTGGAACGAGGGACTAGCCTGCAGAGCGTTTGGAGCAGCCTGGCACCCCGCCCCGCCCCGTGATTCCCCCCCAGGAACATCCATTCCCAGCCAGTTGTGGGGTGGGGGTGAGGACTTGGGGTGGGGGGAAGCTTCGCTTCACGAGTGGCCATCCTGGGCTTCTACTAGACAGGAAGGACCTGGGCTGCCTGTTAGGGAGATTAGCTGGCCTTTCGATCCTTCCAGTTTTGTGTAGATTGACTCTTCCTGTCCTATTATTAACTTGCTGAAAGGAAGTCGGGCGCTGAGCTATGGCTTACTGCTATGTGGCAAAAGCCACAAAGGCATTCTGAAAGACCTCAGGTTGGAAATAGTTCTGCCCGCTTGATATGTGAGGCTTATCTTTCAGTACGAGGATCTTCTCCCCCTCTTCCCACTCCCCACCTACCTCTTCTTTCTTGTCGTCCTGCTTCTCCTCCCCTTCCCCCGTCCCCCTTCACCCCTTCACCCCTGTCTTCCTGCCCCAAATGCACACAACCATTTCCTAGGCAGATAGCGAACGTTGTACATTGTGGTTCTCAACCAAGGGCTGTTTTACCCCCGAGGGACGTTTGGCGATATCTGGAGACCTTTTTGATCCTCACAGTTGTGTGGACGGGGTCCTGGCATCCAGGCACGGATGCTCCCACACATCCTACGGTGCACAGGACAGCTCCATCCCACAAAGAATTTTCTGGGCCGAACGACAGCAGTGAGGGTGCGAGCCCCCCCCTTCTGTGGAGTTCCTAGCTGTTTTCCGGTCCCCCCCCCCCACTCCAGCTCTTTGCATGAAACAGAAGGTATTTTTGAACTACAGAGAATGTTCTGTGAGGGGGTCACTTGGGCATTAGAGTCTCCTCACCCGGCATCGTCTTATACAGGGAATCAGGGCGAGAGAGGGAGCTGTGAGACCCCTGATCTGGGCCTGGGGGCCAGAGGAGTTGTTTCAACCTAGTGTTTTCAGCTCTTCGGTTAGAGTAGCTGTGTGTGTCCTGCGTCCCTCTCTGGGTGGTCGTGAGGACAAAATGAATATAGCGTGTATGATAGTATGTTGAGTATGCGGTCTGGAGAGAATATTGTAACGGTGTTATTCTCTGGAAACCCAAATATAGAGCAGTGCACCAGACCTGAACCAGGGAAAGAACGGGGCTCAAATATTATGCAATCATCCTTAAAAATCTTAGTTGTTTTCTTAGTAGAAATGAGAGTGGGGAGGCTTAGAAGGATGGATTAAAAAAGATCTGCTAAGGAAGCATCTGGGAGGCTCTTTATCAAGGAGTATAGAAATAGCAGGCATTTTGAGAACGTTAAAACCTCATAATAAAAACCAGGAACAAGACACAACTGCTTGTAATCTTGACAGTTTCTTGACAGTTCTGGGAATTATCCTGGGTGGGGGGGGGGCGGGGGAGGGTCTCGGGATAAAATAAGGGCCTCATATAAATTAGGAAAAAAAGAAAAGTAGTATAAAAATATTAGAGATGAATAGACAAAACAGATGTTGCTTAGAGAAGATATTTAAAAAAAATTTTTTTTGATGTTTATTTACTTTTTAGAGAGAGATGGAGACAGTATGAGCAAGGGAGGGTCATAGAGAGAGGGAGACACAGAATCCGAAGCAGGCTCTAGGCTCTGAGCTGTCCGCACAGATTCCAGCCTGATGCAGGGCTCGAACCCACAAACTGCAAGATCATGACCTGAGCTGAAGTCAGAGGCTCAACCGACTGAGCCACCCAGGCGCCCCGAGAAGATACTATTTTTAATCAGTAAACTAAGAACCATTTATTTGCGAGGTCAGGATTGGAAAAATCCAACATCATTTCTATGTACCAACAATAACTACTTAGACAAGAGAGTAGAAAAAATCCCATTCATAGTATCAACAGAAATTAGGCAGCTTTAACCAGCATATGAGATCTTTGTGGAGGAAACGGTAATGTTTTGCTGACAAGGAGGGAAAGAAGTTCCCTGTCAGAGACAGGTGCTGTGGTTGTGGAGATTAGCTATTATCCATAGAAATCGAGGCTCCAAGTGGGTTGAGGATCTTTAAGAAGACCACGTAGGCAGTCACTGGGTCACTTTGATGCTTACCACCAGACTCTCTCGTAGTACTTCTGAAATACTGTATTTGTTACTAATTTCCAATAGACGTTTTCCCGATAAGTTTCTTCTGAGTGATCTTACATGTTTGGAGTATGTCTTTGCTGGATTCTATAATTTATTATTAGGGAGACATTTCTCGTGTTTTGAGGACATTACCATGTTCAAGAATCATAGCTTCAGGAAGCCTCTGATTGGCTCTGATACTTTATGCATTGTGGGGGGTAGACATAAAAAATGAATGCCCCCCCCTTTTTTTTCTGTGACTTCAATTCAGTTGGTCTGTTCTCCAAAAGCCCGTGGAAAGAATCGTAGGGTGAATTGCCACACATTTGTTGGCTTTGTTTAGACTTCCATACCTGTGTTAATAATATTAGTAATGGCAGCAGTGTGTTAAATGCGTATGTTGTTATATCGTCTCGTTTAATCCCAACCAGAATTCCGTGAAATTGGGTATTATCATCCCCATTTTACAGATGAGAAAATTGAAGCTGAGAGATGAAGAGATTTGCCCAGGGTCATGCAGCTGGTAGAGCTCAGATTTCAACCTGGGTGTGCCTAGGTCGTAGCCATTGTAACTCTTGTGTTAGGGTAGCCTATTAACTCTGGTCAGACACCAGCTTTTCAATCTATGGCTTCTGTCGATAGAGGAGAGAGGGAGAAAAGGAAAGTATCTTAGTATCTAACGAGCTGCAAACTGTGTATTTAGTAGAGTAACCCAAGATAGCTTTGTAATGAATGTGTGAAATGCTGTGATTTTCTTTTGTTGTTGTTGACGTATTTGTTCAAATTCCTTTTGCGAATGCGCATGTGTTTTGAAACTGAACCTGTCTCTCTTGCCTACATTTCAGTCAGAACTAAGACATGGTCCGTTTTACTATATGAAGCAGCCACTCACCACAGACCCTGTTGATGTTGTACCGCAGGATGGACGGAATGATTTCTACTGCTGGGTTTGTCACCGGGAAGGCCAAGTCCTTTGCTGTGAGCTCTGTCCCCGGGTTTATCACGCTAAGTGTCTGAGACTGACATCGGAACCAGAGGGGGACTGGTTTTGTCCTGAATGTGAGGTTAGTTCCTGACGAACGAATGCATTCTCTGCCTCAGTTCCTCTCCTTTTTCTTTCTTCCTTTGATTTTAAAAGTTTCAAATCATCCAGATATGGAAAAAAAAAAAAAAAAAAAAAAAAGAAATTTCTTGCATTCCCCTTGTTCTGTCCTGGTCACCCCCCTTTGGGGACCAGCTTTGGCAGGGGCCTCAGCACTGCGGCTTTTTGGAAAAACAATTGCACTGAGTATTGGTTTTGATTCTTCCTGGGTCTTTGGATCACTCTGGGATCTGGAACCTTCTCCGAATTCTCCCATAATGAACATTTCAGAAGTTAAGTCCTAAACCGTTAACCGTTCCCATGTCTTGAAACGATCGCGTGCGGGGGTCTCCTCATCTTGGATGGCGTCTCCTGCTGCTTCATTGAATCATCGGTGGTAGCCGAGCCCAGAAGACCACTTTTGGTTGCATGCTGCTGCTTATGGCTGTCCTCTGATGCTCTCAGGCACGCCACAGCTGTTTCTGCAGTGCCCATTGGGTGCTAGGGATTCGGCAGGGAGCAAAAAGGGGCACGCATTACAAGCTTTTCAGGAGAAGAGGACGAAAACCCAACGAAAGGAATCAAAGAGGAGGAATGGGGAGTAGGGAGGGAGGGTGGAGGGCGTTTTCCGTTACAAGTGAAGAGGCCCAGGAAGGTCTCCCTAAGATTTGAGAGGGAAGAGTGAGCTGCCTTCAGGCAGAGGGTGCTGTGGGCACAGAACCAGAGTAGAAGCCTCGTGAGGAACACGCATCCGGGTCGGAAAGCCGAAATGCTTTCCGTTAACACCATCATTACTGTTCTCCTCAAATCTGAGGTGGCTTCTTTTCTTGGCGACTTGCAGTTAGGACGCTTTTTCAAAATGCTGCAAATGATGTCATCTGCAGACTCATTTCATGCAGAGTGTCACTTCGGTTCGAAGGTATATTAGAGCTTGGTCTCAAACAACGAGATCTTTAGGGAGGAGAAAAAGCAAGCTTTATCAATAGTGGTGATACTGCTTTTGTGTTGGGAAAAGAGAAAAATAAATACTTGAAAAGAAACTTGACATCAGATCGATACGATGATGACGTTTTAATGGTGTTCTGTGCCTGAGATTGTGAAAGATGGCGGCAGGCTCCCGTTGGGTCCCTCAAGACGGGGCGACGTGTCGGACGTGCTTTGCTCAGCGATGCCCTCTTGTTGTGGGGCTCCACCTGGTTCTGTTACATTCAGGGTGGGCAGCGGAGCCTTCATCCGTGTCCTTGTGTCTTGACCCACCCTTCCCGATGGTTTAATAATTTTCCAGAAACGAGAGTGGCTTTTGCTGCAGATAGATCTTGATGAATGTGGACTGGAACATGTGGGATTTATTTTGCTGCGTAGAAAGAGCCCAGAGGCAGGGCCAGGCCAGGGTTTGTTCATAGCCAGACTCTTTCTGTTTTCATTGTTGAGGCGGTATGTCCCCCATGGCCATAGGATGGCTGCTGGGTTTTTTTTTTTTTTTATCACTTGTGTCTAGACAAAAATCCCTCTAAGGGGAGGAGTGTTTTCTCTTTTCAACCCTTTTCAAAATCAAGCAGAAGGACTTTGCCCTTCAGCCTCCAGCTGACTTGCCCTTGGCCTCACTCATTGGTCAGGATCGGATCGGTCCTCATGCAAAAAAATCTTGGAAATGCCTCTCTGGCACTTGGAATCTATATGGTGGGAACCAGGCACTGCCAGCCGGGAGAGAGGGATTGGGGATGGAGGACAAGTGAATTTGTTCGCCATGGATAGTTACCTGGAAACACACAGCAGTTCAAACAAACAGGTGTTCTGTGTCTAAGGTTTCGGGCCACACATTTCTTCCAGGGGTGCATTGGCAGTGCAGTCAACTGGGAAGACTGGCTGTTTCAGGCTCTGGGAGCCGAGCAGTTAGACGCATGCGTCACATACCGTTTTCAGCTTCTGAGCAACTCTTCTGTTGCCCCTTTCCTCGACAACCAACCAGACACATCTGAAAGTTCCTTTTGGAGGATCCAGAGATATAAAGGATGAAAACTAAATCAAGATTAATTGGAGAAAACTTTTCTCAGCTCTCCCTACACAGATGGTTAAAGAGTGTTTCCTGACATCATCAGAATTTGCTATTTTCGTTGTTGTTGCTACATAAGGAGTCTGACTCCGGGATATGGTACCAGATTTACATAGCAGAGTCTGGTTTCAGACATTTCTCTGGGCCTCTTCTTTGATGGGAATTTCCCTTTCAAGATGACATTTATTTCCCATGGAGACAGACAACGAGACTGTGCGCCTTGCGTAGTAGTTTGCCTAGAATGTCCTGAGTGGGTTCACATCCGTGGTGACAGAGAATGAAGCCATATTTATGTTTAGTTCACTGTCACCCCTTGGATTGTTTCTACGGAGAAGACTGTCCTTTTCCATCAGTGATGTCATTGAGTGTAATGCCTCATCAGTTTCCTGAAAGGTAGCCCAGAACCCTAAGGGGATCAAATTAAGTGACTGATTTCATTGTGTACAGAGATACCCTGGAACCGTCAGTGGTCTTTCCTTTTCACATCCCCTTCTTAGAACCCACAACCGTAATCGTGAGTTTTCATCTTTCTCTGATTGGGTCATCTTCATGGTGCAAACCCTTCCCAGATAAGGTCATCAGTGGATTGATGTGCCTCTTAATTTTTATCTACCGATTCAGTGTATGATCGAGTAGATTGGGGTCCTTCTCCAGTGAAACAACCAGTCTTGTTTGGATGGAAAGGATTTTTTTTCTTTTTATATGTGCCTATCGGAACACATAAAAGGGAGGAAAGGGAACTATGTATGGGGATAGTAACTTTTTTCTAACCGGACGTTTGTGTGATTTTTGACTTGTAGAAGATTACAGTAGCAGAATGCATCGAGACTCAGAGTAAAGCCATGACAATGCTCACCATTGAACAGCTCTCCTACCTGCTCAAATTTGCCATTCAGAAAATGAAACAGCCAGGGGTAAGAAGAAAGTTCCTCTTGATACAAGCATAAGCGGGAAATAGCGACTTTTGTTATTTTCTGTTAACATTCTGAGTGGTCTCTGCTTTCCAGACACCTGTGCGAACTCTGGGCCTTCTTAGGTGCCCGGTTCAAATACCTGTAAATTAAATACGAGGTATGACGACGTTCGGTTAATTCTCTCTGGTGAGCACTCTGTGTCCCCAGGGAGTGTAATCGGGAAATGGCATACAGTAGAAAGTTGGTGGGGATTTAAAATTCTGATTGGTTGTGAAGTGAAGCCTCATACTCATACCCCATCAGGTAAGGAGCTTTTGTGTTTCTTCCCTTGGGAATTAGGAAAACTCCATTTCAACGACGGCATGCAGTACAGCCGGTTTATTTAGAGTCAAGGTCTGATGATGGAACCTCCAAGTAAAATGCAACCTGTCAAGAGGTGGAGAATTTGGTTAAGTTCCTTCAGTTTTGAAACGGGATTTGACGTACAACCCGTGCCCCTTAAAGAAAATCCAGATGGGAAAGCAGGGGTGCCACATTTAGCCGGCATGCACTGTTTACCAATGCTTCCCTTCCCCAGAGGCCTGGTCACATCATACACACCCACGGTGGTGTTACTTTTTTTTTTTTTTTTTTTTTTTAATTTTTTTTTTAACGTTTATTTTTGAGACAGTGCGAGAGACAAGAGTGCAAGCAGTGGAAGGGCAGACAGAGGGAGACACAGAATCCGAAGCGGGCTCCAGGCTCCGAGCTTTCAGCCCAGAGCCCGATACGGGGGCCCCAACTCACGAACCCTGAGATCATGACCTGAGCTGAAGCTGGACGCTTAACTGACTGAGCCACTCAGGCGCCCCTGGTGTTACTTTTCATGTGACCTTTTTCAGGAGGATGGTGGTAAAACGCCTGGTTCTTAAAAATACGTTGGGCCCGTATCATCACCATGTTAGGACATTCTGCGGATAGACGAATCTAGAGAAACTTGAGGGTAGGGTTTTCCTTTTCTGGTTTGCACAAAGGCACCATACGGGCTAGTCGTGACCCTTTGTTAAACTCTCCAGAGTCTGCTTTCTAAGTCAAGTGAATATACAGCCAGGTTGAAACTCAGGGTATTGAGTGTAGCCCCTGTGGCCTCATTTCTTAAAAACAACAACAAACCTCCAAGCTTTTGTTTTGAGATTAGATTCTGAAATTCGATACCATGACAGGAATTCAGAGCGTGCCAATTGGGTGTTGCTAAATTGGGTATCTGTTTGTCTCTTTAACAAAAATCTCTGTCAATGGAAGCAAAAGCCTGGATGGCCTCAGTTTGGAAAGAAAAACAGGTCTTTTTTTTTTTTTTTTTTTAAACCGTAGAGTCGTTTTTATGTTGAGTGACAAGGAATTACTTCCTGCTTTTTCATAGGCTGAATGATATCTGCTGAGGACTGTTTACAAAAAGAATAGATTCATGTGGAGTTCTCAACACTGTAGAATTATAAGCCAAAAAGAAAAATCGAAGAAGGCGTTAATTTCTCACATAAATTGTTTGATGTAAAATCAATCAGGGCAGAAAGTTGCTGATGATATTGAAGCATCTTTTTTAACTTGGAATGGCCAGACACTTTCCTTCTGGGCAAAAGAGGGCTCCCATGACAGCAAATGGTAGCCCTTTCAGATGCCTTGCTTGAGTATCATTTGGTGTTTCATTAAATCTTTTAGATATTGACAGATTGATTTTTAAGAGCTTAAGATTTTATTTTTATTTTTATTTTTTAAAAAATATTTTTATTATTGAGAGGGAGAGAGACAGAGAGTGAGCAGGAGAGGGGCATAGAGAGAGGGAAACACAGGATTCAAAGCAGGCTCCAGGCTCTGAGCTGTCAGCACAGAGCCCGACGAGGGGTTTGACCTTGTGAACTGTGAGATCATGACCTGAGCCGAAGTTGGAAGCTTAACCGACTGAGCCCCCCAGGTGCCCTGGATTTTAATTTTAAATATATATATTTTACTTTTGAGAGAGAGAGAGAGAGAGAGAGAGAGAGAACGCACGCACGTGCATACATGCGTGCATGAGCAGGGGAGAGGCAGAGACTCCCAAGCAGGCTCTGCACTGTCAACACAGAACCCGATGGAGGGTTTGAATTCATGAACCAGTGAGATCGTGACTTGAGCCAAAATTAAGAATCGATGCTCACCTGACTGAGCCATCCAGACGCCCCAAGATTTTACTTTTAAGTAATTTCTACACCCAGTGTGGGGCTCGAACTTATAACCCCATAGATCAAGAGTCACATACTCCACTGACCAAGCCAGGCAGGCATTTCAAATCTTTTGGATTTTTTTTTTATTAAAAAAAAAAATTTTTTTTTAAAAACGTTTATTTATTTTTGAGAGACGAGAGAGACAGAGCAGGAGGAGGGGGAGGGGCAGAGAGAGAGGGCGACACAGAATCTGAAACAGGCTCCAGGCTCTGAGCTGTCAGCACAGAGCCTAACACGGGGCTCGAACTCCCAGACCGTGAGATCATGACCTGAGCCGAAGTCAGTTGGATAACCAATGGAGTCACCCAGGCGCCCCTCTTTTAGATTTTTAAATATTGGTAACACCACCCATCGACAAACCGGGCCTTGCATTTTGAGCTGATTCACGTAGGGCTTAAGAGAACATGGATCAATGTGAAAAATGTTGACATGGTCCCTGTGTTGTGGGTAATTTGGCTTCTTAAGAGGGGAGCAAAATCTCAATGTCTGAATTTTCCCCCCGAGTGTAAAATATCTGTTGGCCCTTTAGGGGGACTTTATTTACTGTGTCATCCCTAGGTGTGACTAGATTTCACTGACAGTCCGTTTTGCAGGATTTTTGCAGGACATTGATAAGCCTTATTCACCATTCACGTTCAAAGTAGCTGATTGTGTGCTCTCTTGTTGATCTTAATAGAAGAGGACAGGACCTGTTAATTTGGGTATATATTGAAAACAAAACAAACAACAAAACCAGAACAGCTCCCATGATGATTGATGACCCTTCAGAACTAGAACTTGAACCAGCTTGGTATACTCCCTAAGGTCATTCCTGTATGGAAACGCTTAGAACTGTATCGTCTGAAAAGTTGTCTCCATTTGAAAAGTACTTTGTTGCTATTAATACTCTGTCTTCCTCAGTAATGATGGGTTTGTGTGTGTGTGTGTGTGTGTGTGTGTGTGTGTGTGTGCACCTCTTTTCTTTCTTTTATAGACGGATGCATTCCAGAAGCCTGTTCCATTGGAACAGCATCCCGACTACGCGGAATACATCTTCCATCCTATGGATCTTTGTACATTGGAAAAGGTTGGCCTTCATCAAAGAACCTCACCGTTGTAGCCCCGAATTATCGAGATGCCTAACGACCCTTCCTCACTTCCTGTGCCCCATCTCAAGTTAGATGGTTTCTCTACCTTTCCCCTGCGCCATTTTTATTTGGATGGAAGAACCATTGATCCCATAACTTCTGTAACATTCTTCCAAGGATTGCAGTGGAGTGCCGGATTCTACTGATCAGCTCCAAATGTTACTTCTGCTGGTGATTGCAGCTTTATACCTGAAAAAGTCACACTTCTACGAATTAGTGATTTGCTTGGTTTGAGGCCTTCTTACTCCTCTCTCTCTCAGAGGTGCTAATGAGGGCAGAAGGAAGGAGAAAAGAGAAAATGAAGTGTTTGGAAAACCTTCAGATTGCTGATAAAGACGTGACTCCCTAGAACTTATTCTACTGATACGGATATGTCTTTAATGCCTGAAGATGTTTTTTTAAGAGTGCAGGCTAGAGTTCCATGGCGAAAATTGTTCTTGGAACACTTTAGATTATGCGCATCACTCTGGTGCTGATTTTCAAATTTTTGGCCCCAAAATACGGATAAAGAAAAGCATGGATCCGGAGAAAACATTGTATTGTTTTTATTGCTGACCACTAAATGCTGAGTCAAACCTGTTTTGGAAAGTTGCACACACCCTTATGGTATTTAGAAAAAGAAGGCATTAAAAAAAGACAGGGTTGGAATCCTAGCTCCATAAATTAGTAGCTTTGGAGCTTTGAATCAGTTCCTTAATATCACCATACCTTAGTATCCCCGTATGTAAAATTGCTATGATATCAAATGTGTCATTAAGTTCTCCCATCACAAGGCTCACGTGAGACTATTACAATTAGTCATAAACATATAAATATATATAAAATATCCTGGTTTATTGGAAAGGGCTGCTGGATAAATGACAGTTGCTTATATAAGAGGCCAAAATTCAAGTTACTGTGATGAATTCAGTGACTTCCTTTTTATAGGATTATAGATCTCAAATATGATAGCATCTTGGGAAATGGGTAAAAGCATTCGTTAATTTGGCAAATGACTGCGGAGGAAATAATGTGCGGGGGAGAGGAGAAAGGAAAAAAAATGATGTGGGGACACAGGTGTTAATTGGCTGCAGCTTGTATAGACCCGTGGGTTATTATACTCCTTGGCTTTTTCTCCCCAGAATGCGAAAAAGAAAATGTATGGCTGTACAGAAGCTTTCCTGGCCGACGCAAAGTGGATTTTGCACAACTGCATCATTTATAATGGAGGTGAGTGGCTTAGGTGGCTCCTACAGAAGAGCGTGTCATGCCCGTTCTCCCACCTTTCCTGAAAAATCTTGCTTTTTTTTCCTCGTGTGCCAGGGCCAGTAACTGAGAACATTTGTGTACAGATTGCTAATATTTATCAGTAGGGGATGGTGGGGTCTCTGCATTTTAAGATGATGAGTTGATGATCCATTTCCCCTGTACCAGCAAATCCACCTTCCTCCGTGTTTTCTGTCCTCATAGATTAGTTTTACATAGTCTAGAATTTTATATAAATGGAGTCCTAGTGCATTCTTCTGTGTCTGGATAATTTCATGCAGTATAGCTTTTTTTGGGGGGGGGGTGGCTAATGCATGTTTGTCTCCGTGGTTTTGTTCCTTTTTATTGCTGTGAGTGGTTTTTCGTGGTATCCATCTACAATTTATTGATCCATTCCCTTTGTCGATACTGAAGGATATTGGAGCTGTTTTCCGCTTTGGGCTGTTAGGAATAAAACCGCCGCGAACATTCTTGTGCAAGTCTTTGTGTGGATACACATTTTCATTTCTCATGGGTAAATATCTAGGTGTGGTAGGGCTGCTCCGTAGGTTTATATTTCAGTTTAGGAGGCATTGTGGCAAACTTTCTGCAAAGCGGTTGTATCCTTTTACACTCTTTTAGCCACGTGTGGGAGAGTCTTAGTTGTTCCCCAGTTCCAGCACTTGGTATTGTCTGTCTTTTTAAGTTTAACCATTCTTGAAGGTATGAGCGGTTATGGTGGTGGTCATTTGCCTTTCCCTTAGGACTAACGGTATCGTGTACCTTTTCATGTGTTTATTAGTCACCTGTATATCTTTTTTGGTAAAATATGTATTCAGATCTTTGGCCAGTTTCAAAAACTGGGTGGTCTGTGTTTTTATTATTGCATTTTAGGAGGTCTTTGTATTCTGGATAAAGTTGTGTCAGTTGCGTTTTTGTGGATTGAATCTTCTGGACAGAATGGAAGAGAATTTCCATTAAAATCTCCTCTCGTGGCCCCCTTCGTGTTGCCCTACCTTCTCCCACAGTCCTCTCTGTCTACCCTCTGGCCACGTAGAGCTCTCCGTGTCCTGCTCCATTCTGTTCCTCTTGTTCTCTGCTAGAACACTGCCTTGATGACTTTCTCATGTCCTTCAGTGTCAGCCTGTCAGTTCTCTGAGGTGCCTTCCCTTGTGACGCAGAAGGTGCTGTTGTTAGGAGATCTCACAGGACCTGTGCTTCCCCATGGTAGCGTTTATCACACTTCCTGGATGGTGCTATTTTTATTCGTTTGAGTTCCCCACCAGGATGTAAGATCTCTCTCTCTCTCTCTCTCTTTTTTTTAAGGACGTAAGATCTTTAAGAGCAGAAGCCCTGCCTTCTTCCTGTGTAGTCCTAGTGTAGATGGTTAGCTCGTGTGTAAGGGAAGAGGTATGAGTGGGTGGATGGCTGTTAAAAGCACCTGTTTTACATTATTAGCTCAGGAGCAGGGCCAGACGTGTGGGGAGGGGAGAAAGAGGCAAAGGGGCACTTGGTTGAAAATCTGTGTAAAGGTTATTAACTCAAATATATAGAAAGGCTGGGTAAGATCGTATAACCCAGTGGATGAGATTAGATGGCCATGTTGGCCATTGGCCAGGCAGAGAGTAGAGAGTAGACAATGGGAACTCCTTTCTGGTCTGAGGGGGTCACCACTGGACAGAGTTATCGGATCTTGTGAGTTTTTAAAGCAAGCCAGACATCGAGGAGTGTGTGTGTGGAACATCTTCTTGTCAACAAGTTTATGTTTTCTGAAAACACCACCATGTTTGAAGAAAGCACAGTTTGTTTGTTTGTTTGTTTTTTGCCATCCTGTCTTCCGGTTCAGCGAAGGTGAGGGATTTAGAGTTAGGTCTGGGGCAGATTTTCAACTCCTTAGCCAAGTAGTCCCGTGTAAACAACGACTCCTGAGCCTTGACATACTTATTAATGAAATGGGAACATTCATACCTGCTTCCTGATAAGGCTTCTTGAGTTAATAAGAAAATGTATTTTGAGGCACGAGACGTAGCAGAGCTACTCATTTAATTATTTTCTCTCCTCTGTTGCCCTTCATGGGCTGGAGTCTGGAACAATGGGCGAATAAGGCTCCTTTCCACTAATTGGAGCCTTTTGAATATAAAAGCATCTTCCAAATGTTCATCTGTGAACTGTAGGAATCCCACACAAATTGCTCAGTTTCAGAGGTAACATTGAGGCACCAAAGACTGGTCAGTGTTTCTGGGAAAAGTCACATAAGTTAAACTGATATTAGGAGCCAGAATCCTGTGTTTTAGCCTTTAAAAGCTTAATCCTGGGGGAAAGCAAGTTGAAAGGTTGTTAGGGGAAGTGTACTCCCGAAGCCGCGTGTTACAAACGTGTTTCCATTTGAATTAATCATTATTTTCTTACTTATTCCCTTAGGAAATCACAAATTGACCCAGATAGCGAAAGTAGTCATCAAAATCTGTGAGCATGAGGTATGTGTTTCTCACTGTCCTGTTTTTTTTTTTAATTTTTTTTTCAACGTTTTATTTATTTTTGGGACAGAGAGAGACAGAGCATGAACGGGGGAGGGGCAGAGAGAGAGGGAGACACAGAATCGGAAACAGGCTCCAGGATCTGAGCCATCAGCCCAGAGCCTGACGCGGGGCTCGAACTCACGGACCGCGAGATCGTGACCTGGCTGAAGTCGGACGCTTAACCGACTGCGCCACCCAGGCACCCCCTCACTGTCCTGTTTTAAATGCACCCAGAGTGAGGGGCTGGCGTGGCTGATTTCCATTTGCAGAATCTCTTAGTGGGTAACGGTAGCTGTTTTGGAATTTGTTGAGGCATAGACGGTGTCCCCGTAAAAGTGACAAAGAGGGGATCACCCCCGCCCCATATGCCGGAAATCAACGCTATCTGAGCCGTGATCTTCAAGAGGTGCAAATGACCTTTTATTATTCAGGCTTGCGTCATGGTCAGGAATGCGGCATCTTGAGTTTTCTTGGTTGCATAGATGGGGCTCTTAATTTCTTCACCCCATAGTCCGAGGCGTTGGGCCAGGCCCCTTTTAGTCTTCTTGTGAAAGATGTTTGGGTTTTAATGGTATTTGGGGGAAAGGTTTTGACTGTTTCTCAGGGAGTGGCCTGCAGAGTCCTAGAAGTCAGTTCCTCTTAGAAATACCCATGGTTTTGACGGTGCAGAAGAAGTGAACCTCCTGGGCCTACCCTGAGGCCCCAGTGGTTGTGGGATAGTCAGGGAGCAGAATTTATTAGACCCCAGTGTAAGAATTGAGAAACCGAGCTATAGCAGATTTCAGCCTCTTGTGCACTTCACTCATTCATTCATTTGTAAGGGAAACATTTGGATACTTAGGATACTGCCATTTTTGCATATCTTTATTAAATTTTTAAATGTTTATTTAATTTTGAGAGATAGAGACAAAGCACGAGTTGGGGAGGGGCAGAGAGAGAATGAGAGGGAGACAGAATATGAGGCAGGCTCCAGGCTCTAGGCTCTGAGCTGTCGGCACAGAGCTTGATGTGGGGCTTGAACCCACAGGCTGTGAGATCATGACCCAAGCCGAAGTTGTACACTTAACCGAGCCACCCAGGTGCCCCTTACTTATTAAAATTTTTTAAAATGTATTTTTGAGAGAGAGAGAGAGAGAGAGAGAGAGAGAGCGCGCGCGCGTGCGTGCGCAAGCATGAGTGGGGGAGGGGCAGAGAAAGAGGGAGACTCAGAATTTGTTCCAGGCTCTGAGCTGTGAACACAGATCCTGATGTGGGGCTTGAACTAATGGACAGTGAAGTTATAACCTGAGTTGAAGTTGGAGGTTTGACCAGCTGAACCACCCAGGCACCATTCTACGTATATATATTTTTATTATTTAAAAAAAAAAATTTTTTTTTTAATGTTGATTTATTTTTGAGGGACAGATAGAGAGAGAGAGAGAGACAGAGCACACATGGGGTGGGGCAGAGAGAGAAGGAGACAGAATCCAAAGCAAGCTCCAGGCTCTGAGCTGTCAGCACAGGGCCTGATGTGGGGCTCGAACTCACGAACTGCGGGATCATGACCTGAGCTGAAGTCGGACGCTTAACCAACTGAACCACCCAGGTGCCCTACATATTTTTTTAATTAGAAAAAAATTTATTTATTTTGAGGGAGAGAGTGATTGTTCACGGAAGGGGCAGAGAGAGAGGGAGGTAGAGAATCCCAAGCGGGCTCCATACCATCATGGTGTGGAACCAGATGTGCGGCTTGAACTCAGGAACCACCAGGTCATGATCTGAGCCGAAATCAAGAGTCGGTTGTCTAACCGGCTCAGCCACCCAGGCGCCCCTTTTTCTAAATGTTTTTATAGAGAGAGTTTTATAATCAATATTTTCACTTAAGAGTGTTTTCCCAGATAGTTAAATACACAGGAAGAACAGAATTTTTCATGGCTTTTATGATGATTTTCTTAGTATAATTGTTAGGAAGGCATCTACGAGGTCTGAGACTATACACATAGCAAAGGCTTTATGTAGGTATTTCCTGATTGATTTCTAGAAAAGTTGTAGCACCATGTATAACAACCTGGGTAGTTTTTCCGTGTCCTTTCCAGTTTTGGAAGTTATAATTCAAAAAATACGTGTCTCTATGTTTTCCCTCCAAATGGCATCTCACTGTGATTTTGGTTTGCATGGTTGTTGTTTTTTTTCTTACACGTTTATTTATTTTTGATAGAGAGAGACAGAGCACAAGTGGGGGAGGGGCAGTGAGAGAAGGAGACACAGAATCCGAAGCGGGCTCCAGGCTCCAAGCTGTCAGCACAGAGCCCAACGTGGGGCTTGAACTCACAAACCGTGAGATCATGACCTGAACTGAAGTCGGACACTTAACCAACTGAGCCACCCAGGCGCTCCCCCCCCTTTTTTAAAGATTTTATTTATTTTTTTTTCAACGTTTATTTATTTTTTTTGGGACAGAGAGAGACAGAGCATGAACGGGGGAGGGGCAGAGAGAGAGAGGGAGACACAGAATCGGAAACAGGCTCCAGGCTCTGAGCCATCAGCCCAGAGCCCGACGCGGGGCTCGAACTCACGGACCGCGAGATCGTGACCTGGCTGAAGTCGGACGCTTAACCGACTGCGCCACCCAGGCGCCCCAAGATTTTATTTATTTTTGAGAGCGACAGAGTGTGAATAGAGGAGGGGCAGAAAGAGTGGGAGACACAGAATCTGAAGCAGGCTCTGAGCTCTAACCTGTCAACACAGAGCCTGACACAGGGCTTGAACCCACAAACTGCGAGATCATGACCTGAGCCTAAGTCAGACACTTAACTGATTGAGCCACCCAGGTGCCCTTGGTTTGCACGTTTCTGATGACAAGTGATGATATACCGTTTCTGATATGTTCATTGTCGGTTTAGAGTTTTGTATGAGTGAGTTGTCCAGCTGCTTTCCCCTTGGGGATTCCTTTGTTTTCCTGGATTTGGGAGCTAAAGCCTACCTGTTTAATCAGTGGGTTACCCCCAGGTGGAATTTACTGGACGCAGGTACTCTGTGTGTGGCATTTCTAAATCTACCTGTTGGCGATACATTGCAGCTGTGTGGGCTTCAATGCCAGGGCTGCCCTGGACCTTAGGTTACCACTTTGTTCTCGCCAGTACCTTCAGAATAGCCCATAAGTAGAGTGAGTAGGAACAGGAAATAAATGCCACCACTTTCTTCCTTCCTTATTTATTCTTTTGCTCCTTTATTCAGTCATTTATCCATTGACCTCTGAGTTAGTCAATTATATTTATAAAATTATTATTTAGTAGTATATTGAGCACCTGCTGAGTATCTGACACCTTACATGATGCAGAGATAAAGAGAAAAACAAGGCTTTTGATGATGGTAAGAGAATAGGAACGAAGAGGGCAATGACAGGTGAAACACGTCAGCTCTGGAGCACGTCTGCCTGGGTTCAAATCCTGGTCCTGCCCCTTTGCTGCAGAGAACCTTGGGCAGGTTTCTTGACTTTCTGGGATTTCATTTTTTCCATCCGTAATATGGGGGAAAGAGCAGGCCTGCCTCTGGAGGATGTAAAGAATGAATGAATTAGTACCTGTAGCACACTTTGATGATCCCAGCGTAGATCTCTGATAAATGTTAACCAATGTATTGATCGCTGTGTCACCTAACACGTTTTACATTTATCTCCTGTAATTGTTATCTATTTGGTAGGTATTGCTCACATGCCCATTGTGTAGATGAGAAAATGGAGGCACAGACAAGATAAGCAACTGTTCCTAAGGTTATAGAGCTAGTAAATGGTGGAGGCTGAATTGAGATCCAAGAAAGGGGCTTGTGGGTTCTAAGTCGTACTTAGGTCCCCTAGAGGAATGTATTTTTTCAAAGAGAAGGACGGTCGGTAAATTACATAATTTTTAGATTGTGGTCCATTTAGACAAAATACCACCTGCCCTGGATGATGTGACTAGAGCTGGGTGGGAATTGAGCACAGCGAGCAAAAGCCGGGGTAGCTGGAGGTGTTGGGGGAGCTCAGACAGGTCGGCCTAGGCCTGGTCGCACTCGGTGTTGAAGGAGCGAATCTGGAGTTTAGATTTATTTCCTTGTTAGTTTCTCAGCCTTGTACTACTGGCATTTACTGTGGAGAATTCTTTGTTCCGGGGACCGTCCTGTACCTCCTAGATTCCATTTGCAACAGCCAACCGTCAGGTGTACAAGGTGTGGACGATGAGCAAGATGGGTCTGGCTGCCGTGTCTTGGGGGCTGGACCGCAGTGGCAACAAGAGTGGGAAGCTGGTCCAGATGTGGTCCAGAGAGGGGTGGTGGTGGCGGCTCGGGCTGGGTGGGATCTCGGGGGTTGGTGAGAGGTGATTGGATTCTTCTCCGAGGTGTTCCCCACTGAGGGACTTGGTGTAGCTAATCTTAACTGCTAATATCCTGACGCATTCCTTGAGTGTCTCCAGATGTGAGGCCCCTTGCGTGACACATCCTAACATATTTTTGTTTTACAGATGAATGAAATTGAAGTATGTCCAGAGTGTTACCTAGCTGCTTGCCAGAAACGAGATAACTGGTTCTGTGAGCCTTGTGTGAGTTGTATTTCCTTTTCTTACTTCATTTTCAGAACTCATGCCTTAGAGGACTACCCAAGGCCCCCTTTTCTGGGCGGCTTATTTGATGAAACTTTGGGAGAAGATTTTAAATAACCTTTTTTTTTTTTTTTTTTTTTAACCAATAAAGTAATGGCAGAGTGAAAGTAATCCAGGTGGAATAAACATCTGGGGCTGAAAATCCATGTGCCAGAGGGAGCACTGTGATTTCCTGGGTTTATTAACCGCGGGCAGACTGCAGGCTAGAGCGCAAAATGGGGCCCGTTAGGGAGAAGGCCGTGAGGTAGTGAGAGTCATAAAGAAGTGTGTTCTTTGACGAATCTGTTTTGAGAGAATTGGAAGTATGTCTCTGGATCGGGTCTGTGGTGTTTCCCAAGTGGGCGGTTTGGGCTGGGGAGATGGGAGCAGATAAGTCACCCTGTTTTCTTCACCCGTCTGTATTTTCCAAACCAGTGTTCTGCAGAGAGAAGGGTGTTCCCGGGGTGGGCTGGTGGGTGAGTGGAGGTGTAGGGCTGGAGTTTACTGGGGGGCGAGATTGGGCAAGTAACGTGGAAAAGTGAACCACAGTTTACGTCTCTTCCTGCCTTTGGAGATGAAGCCCCTGAAGAGTTGCAGCCCTCGAGAGAGAACAAAGGCGGCTCATACTGCCCTTATTAAATGCTGGCTACAATGCCCATTTAATCCTCCAGCTTAACAGAGGGTGTAGGCGTCGCTGTCTCCATGTCGCAGGGAGAGGTGGACACTCTTGCTCACGGCCACCTCGGTTAAGGGCGGTGTGTTCAAGCCAGTGTTCCAGCCTCATCTCATCTGTGGTTCGTTCTTCCCCGTTTTCTCCGTGCACCCCCAGAACCAGCTTCGCCCGGGCCTCCTGGCCTCAGGCCCTCCCAGGGAAGCCCATTTGGGAGACCCTGCGTGGAACTGCTCCTGTTCAGCTGGTGGCCTAGCTGTCTCTGCACATACAGCAAGCTTTGTATATGGCGCGTCTTGCTGCCCAATGCGTACAAACTCTGGATTTTGTTTTTCTTTTCCCAGAGCAATCCACATCCTTTGGTCTGGGCAAAACTGAAGGGGTTTCCGTTCTGGCCTGCAAAAGCTCTGAGGGATAAAGATGGACAGGTCGATGCTCGTTTCTTTGGACAACATGACAGGTGGGAGTCAAAACTGGCTGCAAATGTACAGCTTTAACTGAACCTTCGATAACTGTGACGCAAGCAGGGGGCGGAGGTATTATCGTGGCGTTTACTGTCGCGACACCAACCAGTGATCTTGTAGTTAAAAATACTGCCCTGTGCTGCGTTCCGGCCGATAATGTGTGTGGGCTTCGTTTTTTTCAGGTATGTGAAGAGAACAATCATGCTTTCGTAGTTGCGTTGATGACGCTGGCACCAGAATAGGTTCCGTGGCTATTTTAAGTGGTGCTGTTCTTTTTAAATTTTGTGGAGTAAATTGAACCACCGCACAAATTGCTTTTCAAAATAATGCTTTCAGGGATCAGAAGTATTTCCACAGATTGCCAGTAAATGAATCTCTTATCATGGTGCTGGGTGGTTCTCTCTCCTGTTGCCTTTTGCTCTTAAGCCAAATAGGAAATTATAAGAGGTGGCTGTTTTAACAGGTGGTAGCCCTCCCCCCACCCAGCGTTTTCTGCCCTCCCCTCTCCCTCGCTCGCAGGGAAGTGAATTGTTCTGACTCTTAGCAGTTTCCTATCCTGTGGGGTTGAGAACAGCAGGTGGACCCAGATGAGCAGCAGTTAATATCCTAGTTCTCTTTTAGCAAGTTACGTGAGGATTAAATGAGGCAAAACCCTTTCCAGGCGGCTACCAAGCAGTTTGAAAAAGTGTTTGAGTGTGTTGGGGGAGAAGACTTAAAATTCTGGGGGCGCCTGGGTGGCTCAGTCATTCAAGCGTCTGACTCTTGATTTCAGCTCAGGTCATGATCTCATAGTTCGTGAGTTCGAGTCTTGCATTGGCTCTGTGCGGCCAGTATGGAGCCTGCTTGTGATCTCTGTCTCCCTCTCTTTGCCCCTCCCCAGCTCGCGGTCTCTCTCTAAATAAATAAATAAACTTAAAAATTATACACACCGATAGAATATACAGAAAGTACAGTTTATAATTTCAAACACCCGAGTCAGAGCTGTTACTCTGTTCACTTTGCTTGTTGCCTTGCAAATAAAGACAGAAGAGTGATGGGTAATCTGTGAAATCATTTACTAGGAATCCTTTGTCTGGAGGCAAAGTGGAAATTAGCTGGATGGTCCTGGGTTTGATAGGAAGTCTTTTGCTCTATTTGATTTTGGACACTTTGCTGGAAATCTTTTGGTGCTGCCGTGGTGGGTCAGGCCACGTGCTGGATGCTGGGGATACGGGAGTGAGCAGGACATCGTCCCTGCCCACCTGAAGGCTGGCATCCTAGTGGGAAAGACACCCAAGTAAATACCCAAGTAAACACACACAGGCAAGGTGATCTCAGGGCGGGGGCTTAGAGAAGATCTGGGTGGAGGGACAGAGCCAGCCTGCTGTTTCTTGGGGAGAGCTGGGACACAGTGTGGTTTGGACAGGAGAGGGGAGGAGAGGATGGTAAGTGATGGGTGGGGAAGGGGGCAGGGTCTGGATCACACGGGCTGTGGTCAGATTCTGCCTTTGCTTTGAAGGGCAAGAAGAATTCGTGTCAGGCTGTACATCATTGTAGCATGGCAAGAGTTAACCATCTTGATGCTTCGGGATTATTCTCGTTCTGTCATATAACCCAGTGTGGATATACTGGGGATATAGGTGGGTGGGGGAGATCCGTGCCTGCCGCCATGTACCAGATACATCCCAGACTCTTAAGAGTCTTGGATTCTGTTCTTAGCTGAGCCCACTCTGCAGGGACATCTTACTCCTGCCTGTCAGTTCTGGACGGTCTTGGGGGGCATGAGCTCTGCCAGCCCTGTTCCAGAGGCCATTTTCCCAGAACTAGACGGTGTAGGTTGGTTCTGGGTGGGAGCTGTCGTGGAAGCTGGGCCCCTGCATTGGTGAGAAAAGCCAGCGGCCCATGTCTGATGCCCATGACGTTTGTCTAACCCCCTGTGTCTTTTGTTCCCTTAGAGGGAATGTGGCCAGCTGTTGGCTCGTTTTGGGTGAGGGGAGCCCCTTACGGGGAGCGATTAAGGGCACTCCATGGGGATGGGTTAGGGGGTGCAGGAATGAAGTCACTGCGAGCTTGGGGGAAACCTGAAAGGAGGAGCGTCCCTTCCTCCCAGGAGATGTTCTTAAAGCAGAACTGGCCACACCCAGCAGCCCAGCGCGGAGGCTAAAGAGAATGGATAGGCTCTTTCTCCGGGAGCAGCTTTGGGGCTGTGGAGCAAAACAGCAGCCTGGTCCTCTGCAAGCAAAGTAGGTCAGGAGAACAGAGTAAGAAATGTCACAGCCCGTCACGTGTTCATCGTTAAGTTAATAAATACTGGAGCAGGTCCCGGGAGGCTTTTGTACAGATCAAGGCATGTTCGGAATAGTCTCCTAGCGTGCTTTTTTGTCCCTTAAGAATGTTTGCCTTCTTGAGATTTGATTTCACAGACACACACACACACACTCTCTCTCTCTCTCTCTCTCTCTCACACTCACGATACTGTACAAAAATCCAGGAGATATCTTCTTTTTTTTTTTTTTTTAATTAAATTTCTTTTTTTTTTTCAACGTTTTTATTTATTATTTATGGGACAGACAGAGACAGAGCATGAATGGGGGAGGGGCAGAGAGAGGGGGAGACACAGAATCGGAAACAGGCTCCAGGCTCCGAGCCATCAGCCCAGAGCCCGACGCGGGGCTCGAACTCACGGACCGTGAGATCGTGACCTGGCTGAGGTCGGACGCTTAACCGACTGCGCCACCCAGGCGCCCCCAGGAGATATCTTCTTAAACGCACAAGAGCGAGCTGGCATGAATTGAGTGCCTTCTATGCACCAGGCACTGTTTCAAGTTCTTTTTGCAGCTGCGGATTTATTCCCATTTGACTGAGAAGAAACCTTGAGGCCCCAAGTAGGGTGTAGCTCAGCCCTGTGACTCTGTGGCCTCTCAGGACATTGACCCCAGAGGCTCTCTTTTGTTAAGCAGATCAAGCTTCCCTTCAACCGTGTCCTGGGCCTGCTTTAAGGAAAAGAAACCAGGTCCTGAAATCACTGGCAGGTACCTTCATTGAAGGTGCTTGAGACCCTGGCAGGAGACAGTTAAGGCCCTGACCCCAGAGAGAAGGGGGGGGGGGGCGGCCACACAGTGACAGTGGCCCGCGGCCAGCTAGCTGGTGATCTCCTGGTGCTGCGGGGACTGGTCTAGGTGCATTTCATTTGCTCCCCTTGACCCCGTCCCGGGAAGGGCTCAGCCTCCATTTTACCGATGACAGAGCGGAGGCCAGCTCAGGGAAAGGGAAGTCATTTGTCCAGGAGCGGCACGGGGACCCCGGCTGTTCCTCAGAGCTGTCCTGTCTCGTCCAGACTCCTGCTCCCCCAGTTGTAACGGCCGCGGACTCTCACCCAGAGGGCATCTGTCTCCTGCCCTGCCTCGTTCTTGCGGTTCCTCAGGTCTCTGTAGGATGACAGCAGCTAGTTGGGGTGATGAGAAGCTGGTAATTTACAGCACGCTGAGAGAGCAGTTAGATATTTTTGGGGTGTTTGATTTTAGTTTGTGTCACGACCTAGTTATCACCATGAGTTGCAAACCTCCATCCTCTGCCCTGAATTTCACCCCACGCACACACTTTTATTTCTCCGGGCCGTTTTCTCTTCAAAATAGGAACGAGATTCCAGCTGTTAAAACGTGGGTAGAATGTAATCTAAGTAGTCCATATTTTTTGCTTCTCTTTCAAATGCTGGAAGACTCGGCAGTGTGGGGGGTCAGATTCCTGCACGGGCACTTGTGACGCTCCCATGTAGACGGTGCTTGCGTTGGACTGGCTGTGGCATTTCTACCTCCCCACAGCCCACTTTGCTTCCATCACTTTGTGTCTGGCTTGACTTTATGGTCTTTGAAATCCAAAAGGCCTCCTTGGGAATGTTCATTCCCGCCGGATTCCCAGCTATATATATAGGATGGAGGCTGGGGAATCAAATGTCACATGGTCCGCCTCCTGTCCAAACCCCGGAGCAGTGGTCGGCTATACTGCCCTCTCCTGCCTGCGTCCGCTCGGTCACAAATCCCGGAAAAGCAGCTCATGGCCTCGTGAGGTCTCCGCAGAGCATGCTGGGATGTGGGCGGTTGGAGGCAGGCAGGCAGAACCAGCCGAGAATGGGGGGTGGAGGCTGTCCTTTGGTTAGTTTCCACATGAATTCTCACACATCGAAGCCATGCACCTCCTTTCAGGTTTACGGTTTTCCGGTGTTTCCTTCTAGTGCCTCGTAGAACCCCAGTTTTACGAGAGATACGAAAACTGTGTGTGAACGCAGAGGAGTGGGCTTTGGGACCAGTTCTTTTTTTGGAGGTGCAGTCCTGGCAGCAGTGATGGTTCCTTACTCTCTGCTCACCCAGAGCCAAGAGGGGATTTATTATTCTTCTAATGGATTAAAATGACTAAGTCTATGAGCTTTTTAATGTTTTAGTGAAGATCGCTGTTCACATTCTGTCGTAAGAACATGTCTGTTAAGTGTTAACAGCTAATCATGTGTTAACCATTCAAACCAAGTCATTTAAAACATTTTTTGGTGGGGGGCACCTGGGTGGCTCAGTTGGTTCAGCCTCTGACTCTTCATTTCAGCTTAGGTCATGATCTCACGGTTCATACGTTGGAGCTCTGCATTGGGCTCCGTGCGGACATCGTGGGGCCTGCTTGGGATTCTGCCTCTGCCTCTCTCTTTGCCTCTCCCTCCTCTGCTTGTGCTTTTTCTTTCTGTCTCAAAAGAGAGAAATTAAAAAAAAAAAATTCTGTTTTGAGAGAGAACAAGTGAATGGGCGGGGGAGGGGCAAAGGGAGAGGGAGAGAGAGAATCATAAGCAGGCTCCACAGTCAGCATGGACCTCAACACGGGGCTCGATCCCATGACCTTGGGATCATGACCTGAGTTGAAATCAAGAGTCAGAGGCTCAACCGATTGAGCCACCCAGGAGCTCCCAAACCAAGTCTTATGCATGTATGTATGTACGTATGTTTGAAAGAGAGAGAGAGACAGAGACAGACAGACAGACACACACACACACACAGAGCATGAGCAGGGCAGGGGCAGAGAGAGAAAGAGGGAGACACACAATCCAGAGCAGGCTCCAGGCTCTTAACTGTCAGCACAGAGCCCAAAGCAGGGCCCAAACCCACAAAGTACGAGATCATGACCTGAGCCCAAGTCAGACACTCAACTGACTCAGCCCCCCAAGTGCCCCCAAGTCATTTTTAAAGAATGGAGTATGTAGTTAAGAAGGTCGACAGACATACCAGGCTAATTTGGTTTGCGTTAAGGAAAAAAATTCTGGAAACACCCTAAATGTCCATCGACAGATGAGCAGATAAAGAAATCACGGTAGATAGATCTCATGGGATAGTATTCGGCCTTAAAAAAGATGTGACAACATAGCTGAACCTGGAGGACACGACGCTAAGGGAGACCAGCCAGGCACAGTAAGACAAAATGACTGCGTGAATTCCGCTTAGAGGAGGTATTTAATAAAATAGTCAAATTTATAGAATCAGAGTGTAGAATGGGGATAGACTCATCGGGCATAAAATTACCGTTAGGATGAATAAAGCCGTGCCTACGTTAACAATAGGGCGTGTGGTTCTCTTAAACTTACCGCAAGAAAACCAATTTTTAAAAAACCTCAAAAATAAATAAATAAATAAATAAATAAATAAATAGATCTCTGAAAGGACCAAAGTTGACTTCACCTCTCTCTTCTGCACTTCTAGGGCCTGGGTTCCAATAAATAATTGCTACCTCATGTCCAAAGAAATTCCTTTTTCTGTGAAAAAGACGAAAAGCATCTTCAACAGTGCAATGCAGGAGATGGAGGTGTATGTGGAGAACATCCGCAGGAAGTTCGGGGTTTTTAACTACTCTCCCTTCAGGACACCGTACACGCCCAACAGCCAGTACCAAATGCTGCTCGATCCCAGCAATCCCAGCGCGGGTGCTGCCAAGATAGACAAGCAGGAGAAGGTCAAGCTCAACTTCGACATGACGGCGTCCCCCAAGATCTTGATGAGCAAGCCCATGCTGAGCGGGGGCACGGGCCGTCGGATCTCCTTGTCCGATATACCACGCTCCCCCATGAGCACAAACTCTTCCGTGCACACGGGCTCCGACGTGGAGCAGGACGCCGAGAAGAAGGCCACGTCGAGCCACTTCAGCGCCAGTGAGGAGTCCATGGACTTCCTGGACAAGAGCACAGGTCAGCCGCGGAGGAAGAGGAAGAGGCGGGGGCGGGCGGGGGCGGGGTGGGCGGGACCACACCTGTCGGGTTCTGGCTGGCCAGCGTCTCAGAATCAAAGGGACCTCTATGGGGTTTTGCTCCAGTGGAGGACATTTAAAATTTTAAATGGGTGACCCAGAGGGATTTTTGCTGTTAGGAATCAAGAACGTAGAAAATCGGTCCCCAAAGGCCAGATGGAGGTCCTTCCTCGCAGTGGGGCAGAGGTGGCCAGAAATCCTTGAGAGTTGAGAGCAGACGCCTCTTGGGCTATCACAGCAAAACTTCCCGTAAGAGTTTGTTTCTCAGGAACGTTACTTCAATCGAAAAACTTTTTTTTTTTTTTTTTTAATTTTTTTTTCAACGTTTATTTTATTTTTGGGACAGAGAGAGACAGAGCATGAACGGGGGAGGGGCAGAGAGAGAGGGAGACACAGAATCGGAAACAGGCTCCAGGCTCTGAGCCATCAGCCCAGAGCCTGACGCGGGGCTCGAACTCACTGACCGTGAGATCTTGACCTGGCTGAAGTCGGACGCTTAACCGACTGCGCCACCCAGGCGCCCCTCGAAAGACTGTTTTTCTATCCAAACTATACCTTCACGATACTTAGCGCTCCAGTGTTAGAGCGACAGGTAAGGTCGGCAATAACGTGTGCTCTCCCCAGAGCGCTCCTTACAGGTTGGTTGCCCTGATTGACACTTGCTGTAGAATGGCGAGTGGTTAAGAATGAGGCTGCCGGTCTCAAATCCCAACTCTCCCACTCACTAGCCGCGTGGCTTTAGGCCAGATACTTAATGTCTTGGTGCTTGAGTTTCCTCATCTGTGATGTGACGTAATAACAGACCTGACCCATAGGTTCTTGTTAAGGCTTAAATGAAGACGTGTCCACAAAGCGTCGGAACAGTGCCAGAAAAAGTAAGCGTTGCAAAGATGCTGGCTGCTACGTTATTTCTTACGGTGGTTGCTCAGCAAATGCCTACGTGGATTCAGATTCAGATTCGGATTGGGAGAGCTGATGTGAGGGGGTGCTGGTCCAGTGTGAGGAAAGGAATGGTGACTTAAATTGAATTCTTTGTACCCAAATATTATTTGGCTGTCTGTTAAATACTTAAGAGATTTATTACTTCCACAAGGAAATGGGTTTACTCTCATTTTTCTTTTTTTATGTTTATTTTTGAGAGACACACACACACACACACACACACACACACACACACACACACAGTACGAGTGGGGGAGGGACTGAGAGAGAGGGAGACACAGAATTGGAAGCAGGCTCCAGGCTCTGAGCTGTCAGCACAGAGCGCGATGCGGGGCTCGAACTCATGAACTGTGAGATTATGACCTGAGCTGAAGTCGGACACTCAACCGACTGAGCCACCCAGGTGCCCCTATTATTTTTTTAATATGTATTTATAAGTGTTTATTTATTTTTGAGAGAGTGTGAGCGGGGGAGTGGCAGAGAGAGAGAGAGAATGAATCCCAGGCAGACACAGGACTGGATCTCATGAACTGTGAGATCACGACCTGAGCCAAACTCAAGAGTCGGACTGTTAACTGACTTAGCCACCCATGCGCCCCTTAAAGTCCTTTTTTCTAAAATATGATCCTGTTGCCAGTATGTGCTTGCATCATTTGGGGATTATGAGTTAGGCAGCCAGTGAGTACTATGTGTAGAGAAGGTGATTCCCCAAATCATTTTAATCTCACCAATTGTCCCCTTTTCTGTAAGGAGCCAGATAGTAAATATTTTAGGCTTTGTGGCTCTTTGTTCCTCACAACTATACAGCTATTCAGCACTGTTGTATTAATGAAATAGCCATAGGCAATATGTGGCTGTGACCCTGAAATTTGAATTTCATATGATTTGTGTGTTTCATGAACTCTAGTAACCCTTCAGGATTTTTCCACCATTTGCAAATGGCAAGTAACCCTTGTAGGCAATATGAGAGTAGGTGGTACGCTAGATTTGGCCCATGGGTCCTTTTGCTAACCTCTGTTACAGACCTAGTTAGAAGAAACTCTTGAGTCCGTTTCCCCATTTTACAGGGGGCAAAATTGAGGTCTCTGTGGAGAGTGCAGGGAGGCGCCTGTGCCCACAGCTAGATCCTGAGTCTACTTCCATTTTCTTTTCATTGCACCCTACTGCCCTCTGCTGTCAGCAGCGACAATAGCGTTTGGTACAAGGAGAGGTGGAATATTTACTGAAATGCCCCACAGGGAGGGTATCATTGAGATGAGATTTTGATTTATCCAAAATAGCGTTAAAAAAAAAAAAAAAAGATCGTCATAGGATAGAAAAGTCGTATTAGTTTTAGCAATAAAAATTTTGTAGCCAGCAACATAAAAGCTACACACTGAAATAAGTTATTAACTAAAACTTTTATGGGAGTTTAGAAACCTTCCTTTTGTATCGTGGGCGTGTGGAGGAACTCAGTCAGGTGTCTGTAATCTACAGAACTTGATTTAGTTTTCTCAGGAGTACTTTGCTCAGCCAGAAGCCTTTTGCCCATGGTGTCCTGGTTATGGATCAAAGCGGTTTATATTCTCAGTGATTGTCCTGCTTCCCCCTTGATCTAGACGTCCTGGCCTAAATCAATGCCTTTGGCAATATTTGCTTGCAGGACCTCGACGTTAGCCATGAATATGTATTCAGCTACGAGTTATAGCGGCCGGGGGTTGTCAGCACCCTCTGAACGAACAGTCCTTTGGTTTTGTAGCTGCACTAGGGGTTACTGTTTAGGGAGAAGGGAAAACGTATTTGGATACTCCTTTTGTCATAACAGTACATCCTTGTCATACAATACTTGTTATTTATAAAACTAAAGTCACACATCATTCCACCTCCCGGTCAGCCCTTGGATACTTGTTTCCAGGACTTTAAATTTTTTTTTTTCTTGGTGCAAAAAAGGTGATTTTTATTAAAGCATGGGGACAGGACGCGCGGGCAGGAAGAGCTGCTTTCCAGGACTTTTTTCTATGTTGGTTTAGGAGTCATACTATTAAGTTGAAAACAGATATTTCTAGGGATCAGGCAGGTATGGAGACGAGCAAGACTGAGAAGTGTGGTCACTGGGCTGAACAACACAGAGCAGAAATAATAACACTCTTCCTGATGACACACGGGTTGGTGCTTGTATGTACCTCCCCCAGCGGTCCTTACTCTTCTGATGCGAACTCCTTACACCCCACTAACAGACCACCACCTGACCTGTCAGAATGCTCTTGAGGAATGCCTTTCCTGAAGGGCCCTGGGGGCCTTCCTGCTGGTTCTTGCCAAGTGGGAATGTGGGCTCTGTTGCCTTATTCTCATGGTTCAAGAGAAGCCTCAGATACTTTTTTAAATGTGGACTGCCCCAACTTTTACATATATTGGCTCGTTTGCAGTATCTGTTGTAGACAGTTTTGAGATTTTTTTTCTTTCTTTTTCTCCTTCTTCTTTTTTAATGTTTTATTTAAAAAAAAAATTTCTTTTTTTTTTTTAACGTTTATTTGTTTTTGAGACAGAGACAGAGCATGAACGGGGGAGGGTCAGGGAGAGAGGGAGACACAGAATCCGAAACAGGGTCCTGAGCGGTCAGCACAGAGCCTGACGCGGGGCTCGAACCCACGGACTGTGAGATCATGACCTGAGCCGAAGTCGGGCGCTCAACCGACAGCCACCCAGGCGCCCCATGTTTTGTTTATTTTTGAGAGAGCACGAGCAGGGGAGCGGCGGAGAGAGAGGAGACAGAGGATCCGAAGCAGGCTCTGTGCCGACAGCAGCGAGCCCGATGTGGGCTTGGACTCACGGACCATGAGATCATGACCTGAGCTGAAGTCAGATGCTCAACTGACTGAGCCATCTGGGCGCCCCCCCACTTTTTAAGTCAGCTCTCCGCCCACTGTGGGCCTTGAACCTACAACCCCAAGATCAAGCGTCTCATGTTCCACCGATAGCGCCATCTGGGCACCTGAGGTTTTGTTTTTTGTTTTTTGTTTTTTTTTTTTAAGCTTAACCTTGTGTTCTGAGTATTTTTCATGTCACATAGTCCTTCAAAATAGGAGTTTCTGTCCTGTTGTAGACTGCCCAGTGATGCTCTGCCGTGTGGCTCATCTGTGCAAGCCACCAGGAGTTGTGCAAGCTACTGCCCTTTGAAGATGGAGGTTGTTTCCGAAGCTTTATAAGTAGAGGAAGTTTGGCGTTGAATCACTAGCTCCTCTGCCTCTGCCCCTCCAGAGTGCCGGGGTGCGTGGGAGGGAGGGGGCATTTTTTGCTAATTTAATTCTAAGACTCCTGTTTCATGGAGTCAGAATAGCACTTAGCACAGGCCAGGATCCTATAAATGTAGATAATAAATGATGGGTTTTGGTCCGCACTCGTGAATGGTACATCAAAGTATAAAATCTGATTGAATTATTTGTGACTTCAAAGGCGATTAGTTCTTCCTTTGAGCAAGATTTACGGCTTTACAAAAGGATTTGCATCCGTGTCAAAGCTTAATCGAAACGAGCGTTTCCAAATGTCTTTTTGCTTTTGAAAATGTCGAGCATGATTTAAAATCGAGTTTCTCGATCTCTGCCCTGCTGGCTTGGGCTGGACGATGGTCTGGTTGGGCCTCCCATGCACTCACTTCAGGGTATATAATATATAGCATCACGCCTGCCTCCGCTCGCTTCATGCCCGTAGCACGCCCCTGCCCAGAGTGAGGGCAGCTGAAAGTGTCTTCAGGCACCGCCACGTTGCCCCTGGGGGCGTAGTTGCCCCTCCAGTTTCTGTTGAGAACCCGTGCTTTGGACTTTTAGCACTGAGAGCAAAGTTCTGATGCTTCATGTTCAGGTTTGAAGCTCTTCAATATATTACATCGCATTTTGTGTCCTTTTTTTCCCTGAATGTAAACTGTTGCTTTCAAATTTTAATATTGTGTAATGAATAGCACATAATCATACCCCGAGAGGTAACAAGGGTTACGAATTGGGTGTTCCTGGGTGCCTGAGGGGC